CGGTGAGGAGCAGCGCCCCGCCGGGGGTGAGGCGGGCGCTCGGGAAGGACTTGGGTGTTGCGGGCTCTCTCTCCTTGAAGCTGGCTTACTCGCCAAGCTTCCTTTTCCTCCCCCGTGGGAAGAAGCAACGCTGTGCGGTTGTTCCGCCTCCAGACTTTTCTGGAGTTGCCAGAAAATGGAGTGGTGAGGTGCGCGTGTCCCCTAACGGCCCGGCCATTCCCATAGGGTCTGTGTAGCACGATAATGGAAATGGGATCGTTCACAGTCAGTTGGACAGAAAAACCTGTATTAACAGGAGAAAAATGCCAATGAATGGGGAAAAACCCTCAGAGCTTGTCAAGTGAAGTCTAAGTCATTGTAAAAGGCAGCAGCAGTAACCCTGGGACTGCCCGAGCTCTGTATCTGCTTTCCGTTCACTTCTTTTAGTGCCGAATTCCCAAATGCCACAGCCCAGCCCTCAGTGCTCCTGCCAGGCCCGGTAGTCATGTATGTATGGGATAACTGCAGCAACGCTGCCTGTCTTGTTCCTGGCCAAGCCTGGCAGCTGAATTGTTTGCAAATCACCTCTAGCATTAGGAAATAAATAAAAAAAAAAAGAATTGTTTTTTGATGTGAAATTTCTTCTGCCAGGAAAGTGGTGACACAGCTGGATGCATGTCCAACAGCATGGAAAGGCGTTTGACGAAAGCCATGGGACTGTGTGGTGAGTCACAACAAGAGAAAACATTATTTTAGCATAAAGTTTCATTATTTATCCTGCAATGAGTGCCATTCGTACAGCAGCTATTTGGTGTTAGCGCTCTGTGGTGTGAATTGGCTGGACTGGTAGTGATGCACTGTTGTGCCTTGGTGTATTGCTTTCCTTTTTGGAAAATATAGCGTAGCAAAAACATAGGCCCTTCTCTTTCTCCTTGGCTGCACTAAATGGTTGATGCAGACATGGCACAGTAGAACATGTTTCCCAGCCTGTTCTTTGTTAGATTTTTGCTGTTGTTGTTGCCGCAAATAAGTAGGCACATGTCTTGGCTAAAGGCCTGGGGTAAATTCTCCTTTTTCACTTTGTTGAGCAGCACACATTAAATTCCCATTAGAAAAGTTAGCACATGTATTTTGAAATTTAGTTCAATGTGGAAGTAACTGAATATCCTGTCTGAAACATCTGCATGCCTTTTCTCTGGAAGTTGTGGAAACACCATAACCAGACTATAACCACTCTGGGCGCTTGGTATTCCACCCCAAATGTGAATGTGCATGTAACTGCATGTGTATATGTTTAGATTCTTTTGCTTGATTTATTTTCTCATGGTGATCAGCTTTCCATGAGCATTTTGAGAGTGATAATGAGGATTCGGGATGCAAGAAGCAGCTCAGCATCATATTGGATGGTTCAAAGCAATGTGGTTTCAAGAGCAGAGGTGTTGCTCTCGAGTTAGGGTACTGCAACGTCTCCAAAATAAATAGGATTAAAATTCTCAGAGAAATTCAGAGTATTCCCTGCCTATAGAGATAAATAAAGCTCACCAGAGAAAATTGTTCCAAGGTCTGAAGCCTCAAGTTGCTGGGCTCTTTCTGGCTGAGAGAGCTCAGTTTTGGAGGAGTGGTGAGCCACTGCAGGAGTGCCAGTGGGATGGTGCTGGTAGGAAGTGACTGCAGTAAGGCAGTGGTAACTGGCTGCCCCGAGGAGGAAAGGTGTGAGGTGCCCCGGAGCTCCCAGAGGCAAAGGTGGGACACACAGCACAGCCCGAAGTGGGCCCCGTGTCCCCGTGC